GACGTGAAGAAGGTTTACTATGTGTTCTTATTGGTATTTCTATAATGAACGAATCCTTTCTCGCATCATAGCTAGAGGGATATCCTCTCTAGGGTCTTCACTATTGATTAAATATAAAGTATTCCTTCAACATTAGTTCATTTTTAAGATGTTGCTAGGCAAACTTTTAACTAAATGAAACACCTCAGTTTATTTGGCTAGAATTTATGCCAAATGTAAGATAGTAGTATAATTTTTTTTGAATTTTGATGGGCTAAATTAGTGATGTTAAATTTGGTTTTTTAAACATTTCTACTGTTTTCAATTCTCTTTTATTATGTCTCGTTTTCACTATGTCATTTTCAATGTTAAATATTGTCAGTATAAGGAAAACGGGTAATCATATGATGTCATATTCGCATTCTTGTCATGTAATGAAAACGCATTTGACACACCAGTCAATTATAATTGTCATTTTAAATGACGTAGTGAAAACAAGGCACCATAATAAAATGGTAACATCAAGAAACCATGAAAATCGAAATTAAAAAAATTCAAATTTTTGTTAAAAATATTTTTTATGTTTTTCATTTATTCAAGAGTAAACTATCAAAGAGTTTGAAACAAATTGCTATTAATAGTGACGTTTCGAAAAGAAGTGAACTATAACAACAAAAATTCATTTTTATATTATTTTATTTCAATAATTGAATTTTTGGCTGATCATACCTACAGCTATTTCAATTATTGCCAAATATCCATCATCAGTGTGGTCTTGGAATTATTTCCTATATTTAATTATTCGTAAATAATTTTTTGAAACTGCAAGTACCAAGGGTTGAACTCGTTCCATGCTAAATTTAAAGCTCTGACTTAGTAATAATTAGCCAACTGACCCAACGCCGTATTTGACTCGAACTTGAAGTTTTTGTTAATTTGCTATGAAAGTTCATTAACTACTTCATTAACACTACTTTTTGAAGCTCTATAATAAAATCAAAAGTTTTTATTAAGTAAAATAGTCACTACTCTCATATTGAAATTAACATCAAATTTGTTATTGCACTTTGATAAAATAAAGGTGTAAAAGAAATTGGCAACAAAACTAAAACACGGATAATAGTATGGTCGCAGTGGCGTAGTGAACAAAATGACCTCAAGACAATTAAATTGTATTACAATAAATTTATATATGTCTTTCTGAGGCACAAAAACCTATGGTGTCCGGTTGCCAGTTATGTTCGTAAAGTTAAATGAAATCAATTTTAAATTTCATATTTTTTGTTAGATAAAACATTATCAATATTAAATTTGAAACTATAAGTAAGGTGTAGGCAAGTGACGCAAGTTTAAATATGTTTCACGATATATCATATTTACGAAGGTACCGAAGGGAGTACACATGGGGCAGTGGTCGACCAAAAATTTTTAATAAATTAACTAAAATTTTTGTCTATCTTTCTTTTCGTCATAAAGACACGTCACTCTCGGCAAGAAAAAATTAACAAAAAAAATTATAGTTTTGAATTTAAATACTAAAATAACAGGTATTCTTTTTTGTTTTACATATTTTTTTATTAAAATTGGTTAAATAAAATATGACATTCAAGTGCACGTTACCTGCTACGCTCAAAAAAAAAAACGCAACCAAATTTATGTTTAGCATTATTATGGTTAGAAACAAACAAATAATATCTATATAATAGTAAATGTATTCCTTAAGGCGAGTTTAGAAAAAACAAATAACGTTTAAAAAACTCTCCATAAATTTTTGAGTATCTTTTATTTGTGTTATTATTGTTGTTGCTTTAAATAAATTTATTTTTTTTGTGGCTCTATAGCTAAAGGTAACATGTTACTAAAACAAACTGCATAAAAAAAGATGCAAAATTAAAAAAAATAAATGTGATTTTTTCAGATAAATTCAAAAACTACAGTTTTTTATTTGAAAAAACTTTTTACTAATATTATTATTTGTAAATAAATTACTATATACAGCTTATGCAAACAATTAAAAAAAATTAAATGAAACACATTATATTTTATTTTAATAACAGTTTTAATCGTTATTCATCTCATACATATAAAATTGCTTCCGAAGGGTTAGTATAAAAAATATCCATTTGGAAGTTACATTTTTTTTGACCGCCGGGGATTGATTTAAAAGTAAAAAATTTTTTTTCCATTTTAGAAAATTTTTCTAAATAAAATTATTTAAGCAATTTGTATTTTTGTTTTCATATATTGTACGTTATTTTTCTTTATGATATGTTTCGCATCCGTAATAATTCACCTTTTGTTATCATTATGTATCTATGCTCTATTGTTATTGTCAATATTCTAGCACTAATGCGAGTAACAACTTCGCAGAGAATTGAACTTATTTATTATAATATAATTTTAATTAAGAGTTGAGAAGTAAGAACACTTTGTTGAGTCCAATTTCGGCTTTAATTAATTATTCGTTTTTTATTCAGTGCTACGTTCATTACGTTCATCAGTGCAACGTTCATATTAGAATCTAATATTTCTCATTTCGTACTGAGAAATAATTATACAATATTATAATGTTAATAGAAACAATTATATATTATAACGTTAATCGAATAGATTAGAAAAGAGAACAACAAAACCTTTTAGTTAATTTACTGAAGTTTGACTGACCATACAACCCTGTTTCGAGTATTGCCAAATACTCATCATCAGTGGTCTTAGGAAATATTCAAATATTTTTGATAACTTTACAATCCGTATATAGTTTTTTTGGACTCCAAGTGCCAAGCTTAGAACTCGTGCCTGTTAAATAAGAAGCGATGACTAATCGTGTTGTTGCACAAGTAGCGAAGGCTACACAAACTTTCTGTTCTCAGGTTCCAGGTTTTTTGTCACTTTTTTTATTTAATTAGTGACACTAACCAAAGCACTTGCCGTGCTTTAAATTAGAACGAATTTATGAACTACAGCTTTATTTGGAAACACAAGTTCAACGAATTAAAAGTTAATTTTTGAAGTTTGTATTTTTGTTTCAAAACTATTCTTTTGTAGAAACATCTGTATGCATATTCTTACTTACTATACGTAAAGCGCTCTTTTTTGGGTGCAATTTTACAAAGAAGCTATACAAATATTATATATCATATATATTATGTATATACACAATTATATATTATATTTTTTTAATATTTCAATGTTTTTTTTTACAAAAACTTATGTAGGCGTTTAGTATTGTATACATTGTATATATTTAAAAAAGATGAATTTTAGCTTCTATTTTTTTAGATGCTGGTATTTGAAAATGAATGAAGTTACGTTTAATTGTGCATCAAAAGAACTTGTGTAGTAGAGGAAGCTAACAAGTTTGAAAGTTGTAGATATCAAAAAGTGTTAACAGGATTAAGATAATATCAAGTTATTGTTTTAAAAATGTATTCGAAACTTGTTTAACTTTTTTTAAACTGTAGTGATTATATTTTATACAAAAAAAATATTTTTATTACTTATTTTACTTCTAAACCGTTATATATAATGTGAAATAAGTCCATCGAAAAACGTAGTTATCGGTAGTGAAATGAAATAAAGAAATAATCTTAATATTTAAGTCATAAATTTAATTTTTCTTTTCTTCTTTATTAAGATTTTTAAATAAATTTCCATAATATAAAATATTTAGTTTTAAGTTAAGTTTATTTCCGAAGAAATATACAGTTTTTGTGAACAATAAATAAATGAACAAATAAAAAACAATCATAATATAATGATTATATATACCATAGGTATTAATATTAAATATGCATTTATAGTTTTTAATGAAATGTTATTTTTTAATATCTATTTGTAACTAATATATCGTAAACCTCATCTGATTGTTTTCTATTCTGTATATCTGTTGGTCCTTGTATGCCAATTAAGTAGATTAAGTCATATTGTTTTTATATTATCAAGATGTTTTCATTTAAGTAATTCATTATCTGAAATTTGTTCTTATTTGGTTTAATTAAGAGAAGAACTGGTGCTTTTTAGAACTATTTTGTAAAATTTTTTTTTCTTTACATGTTGCGTTTCTAGTTTTTGTTACGATTTTTACTTAACAAGTACGGTTTTTTGTAAAACAAATTCTGAAGCTTTGTTCTACAAGTACGATATGAAGCACATGATGTGCTCTTTAACCCATTAAAAGGTAGATAATAGAATTCAGCAACAAAAATAATGGCGTCAATTTACTTTACTGAAGTCTGGAAAGATGTTAACTTATAATGGTACACTGAAAATGTTTTGCCTAAATTTTCAAAAATTTGTTGGAAAAATAGGGAAAAAAGGAACTATGTCGATATTTTCTGCTTCATGATAATGTGCCAACTCACATTACTGAAAAACGTCGTTTTGTTCTTATGGATTAAAGCATTATATTCCTGGAGCTTAACGCCGTAAGATTTCTGATTGTATTAAAAAAGAAAAATATTGAGAAGATAATTAAAGTGCAATTAAAATCTAAGATACAAACCTAAGAACATCCGATTTTAAGAATTGTTTTAAAAAGTGGATCTACTGACTTACCATGTTAGAAACAATAAAAAATAATTAAGATTAATTTTCAAATTGAAATTATTTTTGTCAATTTTTTTTGTAGATAACTAGTGGAACTTAATCCTCGCGTATTCTAAAGTAAATATTTCAGCCAGCATGAAATTATAAGACCAATTAAAATTTGTGCCTTTAATGCCTTTACTTTGTGCCTTAAAATTGTTGTATTTCTAAACTATATTAATTTAAGAACTGAATAAATTATAATAATTTAAGTATAATTAGAAGATATATGTATACCATATGTAGAACAGTACCCTGTTAGGTTCTATTTCTAGAATAGTTGATTTATGAATATCATGAGAAACTTAAAAATCTCTCTTTTTAAAAATGTGAATCTATATAGAAATATATAATTTAAACATATATATTATTATGCAAAAAGCATTAAATATAAATAATGCAAATAGTTTGTAAAAATATTTCTTTTTCTGTTTTAGGTTTATGAATTGGAAAGACGATTTAAGCAGCAGAGATATCTTTCAGCTCCTGAAAGAGAACACTTAGCTAGCCTTATACATTTAACTCCAACGCAAGTAAGTAACATTAATTGATTTATGAAATACTGCACAAAAGTTTTATGCGATAAATAGTAATAACAGAAATATGATTTCTATGAGATAGTTATTATGAGGTCTTGCAATGAAAATGCGTATTATAAGATGTTTTAAAAATATATCTAGATATATTTAGATAAACTGTTCTCATATATAGATGAATAAATATAATTAAATGTTGAATATCAAAATGGATTTTTAAAATTAAAATATATTGAATCTCGTAACTAATATGGTAACAGTAAGAAGTTATACTTATATCTTTACAATTTATAATCTAACATTTTGAATTGTACAGAGTAATAAAAGGTTATATGCAGTCATAAATATTGCGCATAAATACATAGATATAAATAAATATATAGAGATATAAAAATGATACATTTTATGTCTTCAAATTCTATTTTGTTCTTATTAACAAGTGAATATATAGAACTATTAAATTTCTCCTCAAGAGTAGTTTCTTGTCAGTAACTATTTCTAAAAATCTAACTTTAAATTTCAGTTAAGAAAGAGTAAATATTGAAGTAATATACAATCATTGATCATGTTATTAATAAAATTCAATCCAAACCATGTATAATAATATTCGCTTTAAAGACCCGTAAATATACCACAATATAGTCTAAGTACATGTATGAATAAGATAAAAAATTATTGGAATTTTAAGCGATCACCTTAACTTACCTTCTAGCATCAAGAATAACAAAAGGTACACTAATACAATATATAACGATATCTTTAGCAACTTGATTATGATTAAAACATAAAGACGTTTCTACAATTAGATCACTTTAAATCTTTTTGTTACAATGCTTGTGGCAAAAATATAAATAGATGTTATTGTTATTTATAATGCAAGTACAATTTTGATAACTATATAAATGATATAAATAAATAATATGATATAAATGGATGTTATTGTTATTTATAATGCAAGTACAATTTTGATAACTAATACTGCTCTCTGACTATATAATTTGAGCCGAAATATTGTGTATATCAGCACCTTTAACAAGGCGTTAAGTAAGTTAAAACGTAAACTACACGACATTAAGTCCGAAAATAAAGAAAATATTCTTTTTTAATACTGTGTATGCAGATTAGATTTTAAAGCAATTGCAGTTTAACAGTTAAATATTGTTATATATTGGCTTTGTCTTTAATACTTATTATGATCAGATTTATACGTTTAAAATATAGACGACAGTTTGATCGTGTAAATGTAAATCATCATTTCTTCATAAATTTTTAGTCACTAGTTTAGAAGCATTGTGTCCGTCTAAATAGAGTGTTCGTTTTAAGTCAATACTACCCGTTTATAATTAATGCTTACTTTTGAAACCAGTAGCGGTGTCAGGCGTCACTACAACTACAGGCGTCAGCTAACTACAACACGTTTATAATTAATGCCTACTTTTGAAACCAGTGGCGGTGTCAGGCGTCAGCTACGGCGGCCACCGCTAACGAGGGGCATCGTAAAAGTTACTGACTGTCGATTCAAAGCACTAAATGCATATTTTGAACGTATTCTAAACGGAGACCTTCTCAAGCATTGTAATGCTTTAGGTATAATTAGGACTATTAAACTATATGAGGAACTGCTGCTTTTAAAATCGAACTAACTAGACTCAATTAGCGATATAAATCAACTAGTCCGGTATATTCAAGAAAATAATTTAAAGGCAGTATATCCGAAAGTTTATATAGTAACCAGAATCATGTTCTGACAGTTACAGTTAGTGTAGCTTCTACTGAAGGAAGCTTCTCAAAATTAAAATTGATTAAGACCTACTTAAGAAGTATGATGAACCCAGAGACACTATCTCCATTGGCAATTAATAAATTACATTATAAATAAAAACTGATTTGTAGTAAAAAAATTGATTATAATAATTTTTATTTTTAATTAATTGAATATTTAATTAATTAAATATAATTTAATTAAATATTTAATTAAATTAAATATAGTCAGATATTAAACCAAATCAAAATTATAATACAAACTTATGAACTAACATATACTAGTGAACCAACGTTGTCGTTGGTTAACGTTGATTACATTTACAAATTTAATATAAAAAGAACCATAATTTATTATATATATTTATAAACACTTTATATTTTATTAAAATATTTTTTCGACTTTTTAACCATCTTCGATAGTCATTTTCAGGGAAACTGAAAAAATTTCGTTTATAGTTTTTTTATTTTTATTTAAATGACCAATTAGCCCGCTCATAAATTATTATATAATATTTTTGTTTACAAATAAAAGAATAAAATATTTTATAAATTTCATCACAATCTATTGAATTGTTTCCAAGTATGAATATACGTTTTATACAAATATACATATTTATACCAAATAATATTAATACGAGATAACTATATTAAAAGATTTATTAATTTGCAACTCATATTTATTATTTTTTTCTTATTTTTGGTAAACTATTTAATAAAGCGGTTTTTTTTCGAAAAGTAATGAACTACAAAAACAAAAATTCATTTAATATTATTTTAATTAAATGAATTTTTATTTGATCATACAGCTGTTTCGAATATTGCCAAATACCCATCATCAGTGATCTTCAAAATAGTTCTTGTATTTAATTATTCGTAAATAATTTTCTTGAGTCCGCAAAAACCAGAAACCGAACTAGTGCCCCGCCAAATTTGAAGCTCAGAATCAGCGCTCCTTAACCAACTGACCCAAAGCCGTACTTGACTTTTATGTTCGCACATTTTTCTGGAGTTTTGTTAATTTGTTATAAAAGTTTCATTAACAAATTCAATTGCTGTATTTATATTAGAAGAAAATTATGAAGCAGCTGTAGAATAATTGAATTAATTAATTATTTCTTTTTTTAATTGTTTAATTTCAATATTATTCTGTTTGTAGAGGCAATATTTGTTGCATGATTTTTATATTTTTTCTTATGTATAGAACTTAATCTAGGAACGTTATACTGAAAAAGTCATGCTAATGTTACTTCACGAGTCGCACGGGCGATACCAATGTTTTGTGAATATTGGTCTAAACTATTTAAGTTAATTATTGTTTTGTTTCATTAATTAATGATGTTTTATATTATACCATTAAAATTATTTTTTATGGACAAAAATTTGTTATTTCAAAAAAATCTGAATTTCTTTACACTAAAGAAGATAACGAAATTTAGGTCGTTCTTTAAGCTCAACAATTTCAATTAAATATTGCAATTATTTGTATACACATTACAAACAAAGGTAATGTGTATAATTTAGAATAATTGATTTTAAATTTTTTTAAAATCGCCTTTTATCAATTCATTTGATCAACAAAACACCTAAATTCAACAACAATTATTTTTATCTATTTAACAATTGAAACATCCATCCCCTATTGTACTCGTATTCGTACTCGTATACTTGTAGTCTTTTTATTCAATGTGTGCCTGTATTTGTGTGTTTATTAAACCCCTCATGAGTGCAAATGATGTTCATCGTACAGCAATCTTAAGTGGCGGCTGTCTAAAGAGACTAATAAACGTGTCAGCGAAGCGCAAAATCTTTTCACATAGTACCTTTAAAAAAATTTACTTAACAATTGCCCGAATAATTTTTTAAATCAATTTCCCTGATAATATTTTGTGTGTTCATAGCAGTCTATTATTGGTTTGGTCCTTACTCCTGTAAAATAAATTATTGCGAAATAATAAAATATATAATACTCATGCCCATATTATTAAAGTGAAATGTGGTTATTTCAACCAAAGAAGACATGTCAACACAATGGAAAAATTTCCGTTTAAATGTTGGGGTGAGTAAAATATTTTCTATTGTATACCACACACTTTATACTTCATTTATTTTGTTATCCTGCAAAAACAATTCTCTGTTTATCAGAGGATATAAGTTCTTGAAATGCTTTATTCAGTGGTACTGAAGTGTAGTGGTATATGTCTGTTATGCCAGTGCTACTATACCAGTAAATACTTTATGCATGCCTAATAAAAGACAGAAGGGTGACAGTACACGCTTCGTTTGTTTTTATTGTTAACACACGTTTAAGCCTATGGCAATAGTATGTACCACCGAAACGGATAACTTAACCTAATGACAATTACAGTTTAAGTGACTATGATTATTATCTTCACGCCTTTAATTTGTTTACAAATTAACATACCGATCAATGTGAATATAAATATTTAAGCAAATAAAAATTACATCCGTATATATATATACGTTAAATATATACGGAATTGTTTAATCTACCATATTTCAGATTAGTAAAAACCGCTAATAATATAAAAATAAATTAATAAAAACCATTAAATCAAAATATCTTAAAGTGATAATAAAGAAAAAAGTATTATGTGGTATAATTTTTATAATTATATTACATCACTGCAGAATATTTCGCAATTCTTTAGGTATATTAATAATATTTACAAAGTATTAGCATTGACAGGATATTATTCGTTGCAGTCGATATTCGACATTTTGCATAAAATTTACTGATTCCTGTGACAAACACAAAAAATAGAGTTGCAAAAGATTACTTAAGACTGGGAAATAAATTATACCTAAGCGTATTTGAAATCATTTAACACATTATTTAGTATGTTAAAAAAATTAACTATCATGCAATAGTACTCATACTAAATACTTGCTTGTCAGGAAGTGGTAATCTTCAAACGATAAGTGTTATGAGATTTCGTCCAACAGTTATTGAGAAAAATACGGTGGAAATCCAGTAAAATATTAAAAAGTTGCTGGCAGCTATGTACCATCAAAATCAACTGTTTGTCGGTAATACCATGAGGTTAAATATGATCGTACAAGCATTAATGAGACTGAATGCTCTGGACCTATGAATTTAGGAAAAAAATTTTATTCCAACAATAACGCCACATCCCACACAATCTAGATAAATTGTTTTACGAGAAATTTATTATGGCAGATATTAATAATAAAAATTTCAATTTTTATATAATTGTTTAAGAAATTGTTTAATTATTTAAATATTAAACATTTTCTTCTTTACATGCTAATAATATATCTCTTACAATACATGCATGTGTGATAGTTTAGATAAAATATCGAAATCGTGCTATTTCGTTATAATAAAGATGAGTTTGATTTTCAAATTTTAAGAATGAACAAGTTTACTTAAGAGGAGGCGGCTTCAAAAAATTTCGACGTTGTTTTTTGAAATCAATTTATAGAATTCTACATACGTTCCCCAAACAACATTGGTAGCTCCAAAAGCAATAGTTATTGGACATTTCTAACATTTTGTAAGGACATTTCAATTAATTTATGACTTAGTATTGTCAGAAAAGGAAAGAAACTTAAAATCATTATATATTAACTTACCGTAATTATAAGAAAATGTTTGAAATAATCATTTTATTTTATCTATTGATCTGCGGGTCAGAAAAGTTTCCCTTAATTCTACAGGCTTTACATTCAAATTGGCTGGTTTATTGTATTGTACTATAATTTAAGGAAAATAGTGCTAGGAAGTATTCACCGCATTGATTTTGAAGTTTTCAGTTAAAAACAACTGCAACTATTGCAAAATTTTAAAAATAGAAATATAGAAACTTCTATAATATAGAACTGGGTAATAGAAAGTTTTTTATTATTATTTTCAATTTTAAATATCCATGAGCTTTCGGCTATTTTTTGGTAAATGACAAAATTCGTTATGAACTCAACATAACACATCAGTGAGTAAATCCTGAGATTAACGACAAAAAAATGGGCCTATTTACACTATCATGAACGTGAGATGAACTTGACGACAACAAGAACTGTCAATTCAGTTTACACTATCATGAACTCTTACGACCGTGGAAGTTATTTTGTTTGTGTGTAGTAGTGCAGAGCACAGAAATTGAGAGTATTCAGTATTAAAAGGTAAACATAAACATAACATTGCATATGTATGCATGTCAAGCCGAAGAAACGCAGAAAATTTCATTGCGTGAAATTCATGAATTTACATCACACTCTCTTCCATCTCTCATCAATAAACAACCGGTTTTTAAGCTCATGTTCATGTTCATGATAGTGTAAATAGGCCCAATAATTGTCATTTTACACATCTCTAAATATAACATTATATATACAACATTATAGATTGAAATTGGTGTTTTATTTGCTTTGGACGAACTTGACTGAATTTTCTGTACTGACTTTACTCTTATTTTGATTCCAGTGTAAATTGGTGGGTCTAGGATTCATTTAATGGTACGTGTCGATTTGAGAAGTTCTGTTTACTATGCTTAAACACTGCTGTTATAGGTCTACTGTAAACAAAGGTTCGAATACAACTTACGCATCATCAATTGTTTGTGCAAACTTGTACTCATTGTTTGCCTGAACTTCACTTTATAATCATTCAAATTAATTTCTTCAACTTGTTTTATTATTTTTTATAACAACACACAAATTCGATTGTCAACAGCTTTCAACGCTTGCTGTACAGTCAGGTGCAAAATCTGCTTTACACAGACAAATAGTCGAATTTAAAGGAGCGTACTCGTCATAACCTTTTGTGAAGAAATTGCACATAATAAATTTGTATAGTATAAATCAAAATGTTTTAACTTTTTTGTGGTACGCATTATTTAAGGCTTTAAGAAATTCTAATATCTTTCTTTACGTGACATACACAACGAGTATTGGGAAATGTAAGCGAATTAATCGATTTATTTCCCCTCGAACGACAAAAGACGAGGTGCATACTTCACATATCTTATAAAAAATCCTTTTCTTTTGCAGTACTATATAAGTTCGGTAACAGCAAGACATCCTGGCTGTTGTTCCAAAATTAACAATATCAATTTACATATAAAATTTACTTCCAAATTGACCCTGTAGGGTGTAAGCCACGCGTCGAGAAATTCTAGTTTGAGCTATATTGAGTGATACATGTAACATATAGTGCATAACGCTACATTCGAATCTAACATGATTTTTCTACTTTCGAAGAAATCACTTGGCAATATTTAAAAAATGTAATATCTATAGAAAAGTGTTTAGGTATCTGTGAGTTATGAGATTTTTCATTTCTATAAATAATTTTACACATTTTTATGATATCTTCATGACCTTTATTTTGCTTAAGTATAGTAAACAGTATATACTCAGTCAGGAAGATAAGCTTTCAAACTTTACATCTGAACAACCTAATATCAGAACCATATAAGCTCTTGTTACAGCGGATCACCCAAGTGGTCACAGATACTATTAAGTAAAAGTGCTTTAGAGACTAATTCGAACAAAAGTATATTTGAAAATATTTTACGAAGTCTTTACAATCCAAAAAAAAGCAGTATATTTTTAATTTTCGATATTATTTTGATAATATGTTCTAACTATAAGACTTGTGACTCTAATATTTCTGAAGACACTGAAATAAAACAAAAATTAGTTTTTTTAGTAAGCAAATAAGATCTTAAATTGTTTCGTTGACATTTATCTTTAATTACTCTAATAGCCCTAAAATCAGCATCAATGGCTTGCTTTTAACATCCTCAAAATAGTCGCAATAAGAATTGAACAAAATATTGAAGTTAAAAATCTGTATCATTTAACATTAAGATAACACTAATAATAATATACGCAATATATATTCTTTTTGACCTAATATACTTAAGTGCTTGCCCTGGTAATGACACAGTCGTGATTCTATACTTTTACCAATTATGAAGCATTGCCTGTCTCCTTTGCTGTCTCCTTTACATATAAACTAATTTGATTTTAAATACGGTTTATGTTTCATTTATTTCAAACAAATATGTATATGCTTTATGAATCTGAACTCTTATTGTAATTTTTTATTTAGATTATATGTCAGTTTCTCGGATTTTTCATTAAAGATTTTTTTATATTAATTTCATTCTCTTCATCAATATTGCTTTCTTCATTTTCTGCATATCAATCAATATTTCTTGATTTGATGACGAAGTGCGATCTAATATATTTCCAGTTGCCAATTGGGCATATTGCCAAACACGTATCAATGTGCTTAGAGACATGTTGTCAAATAGTTCTGTAAATATATTACTTCAGGACTGCAGCACATAGGATCAACCATGGCCACAGTGCTCCGCTCCGTTGGGAGCTGGTATCACGTTTTTTATTATTCCAGGACTGAGTTATATTGATTGCGGAAACACTATTTCATACTGGGGCAAGAAAATCAAATACAAATCACGAATCCATACGCTTCAAAATATCATCGAATATTTTTACTGAAATAAGTTTAAGTAACAGTAATAAATAATTGAGTGCTTATGAATATAATATTTATAAAAGAGAAATTACAAATAATTCATTTACCTTAATTTTCCTTTTTTAAAAAACAAAAAGCTAAAGAATCAAAGCAAAATTAGTTCAGAGTTTAAAGTTTACTGTAATGGATTGATTCTAAGGTTCTATTTTTTTTATCTGTTATTAAAAGTATCGAGTCACAATTGTATTGTAAATTACTATTACACTATATGTATTGCAATTACGATATAAAACCTATAAAAAAATAATAATGAATATTATTTACTTTATAATTTGATTTTTTAGGTAAAAATTTGGTTTCAAAATCACAGATATAAATGTAAGAGACAGGCTAAAGAAAAAGCAATGGCAGAGCAAAATCAACAAAATCAGGTAAATAAATGTGATATTATTTTAAAAATTTAATTTTATGCAATTGATATGTTACTAAGGAATGGAATTTAATGTCATTCAATTGAAGAACATGACGGTCAGCAGGACTGTCCTATTCTCACAGAGCACTGCCATAAGGCGCATCTACAATTTTTATATTTTATAAAAGTTATTGAATATAGTTATTATAGTTATAAGTATCATATTTCAACTGCATTTCTTAGGACGGCCCTAGTCGTCAGTCAAATCAAAACTTTGTTCGTTCAGTGGTATTTCTGCAATTCTATCTGTTATGTAAACCTCAGCTAATTTTTCGATTTTAGTTTTTAACCGGTTTTCGTACACATAATTCATTTCTTTTAAATTAACGGTTTAATAACGGTGTAGTGCAACTGTGACGTAGTCTGAAATTCGTTGGCTTCTGCCATTACTGTCGATATCTCGACAGTCAATGTAACAGTAACAGTAAGTTACATTTCCAAAATTATATTTCTCTGTGATGCTCGACAGCTCATGCTTATTCATTGATACAAGATATTGGTGTATAGATAGTTTGGTGGAAAGAGAAAGTGTCGCAATTCAAACCCCCAAAAATTATTATCAGACCATCAAAACATTTTAAATGTTTTGATTTGAACTTTGATTTCTGATACAAAAATAAATTATATGTATTCATAGTCTTATCGGCAATTCTTATTATCTTGAAAAAAAAAGTTGCTTTATTTTATGTGCTTGAAGTGATTTCTTGACATCGTCCGTATGCCGATATATTTCAAGCTTGCTAGATTTCTTAAGCTCGTCCGGTAGTACCGTTTTGCCGGAAATTCATATACCATATGGTAATTTTTTCTATTATATTTAATTTAAAGAAAACTTAAACCACAACCGGTTCCACATGATTAATTAAGACAGAAATGTTAAATATTTTCTGATTACAGAGCATTTTATAAAAAATTAAACAGTTTTATATTTTGGTCATTGTTTTGCATTTGCAAATTAATTTAAATTAGACTATCATTACGTACTAATACAAATATTTGTAGCTGCTTTTGTAAATTTTAATTTTCAAAAGTAATGTTACATTTGGTTTGATTACATTTGAATTCCGGCAAGGGGATCTACTTAAGTAAAAAGGCCACGCGACATTGCATTTATTAATTAATATCCAGTAGAATGTTTGCTTCAAAAATAAAATACAAACTTTTTTATGAAAAACTTTTACAACACAATAAAATGAAAACGTTTTAACAAAATTTGTATAACATTTTATTTTTATTTTTATTTTATTTTTAGTCTGCAAGTTCACCACGAAGAGTGGCTGTGCCAGTATTAGTTAAGGATGGAAAACCGTGTTCTAGTAACAATAATGCAACTCAGTCGCAATCACAACAAATTAATGGTAGTAGCACAATAAGCAATGGAGGTAATAATAGTAGTAACGGCACAACAAATAATGGCAATTCTTCAGTTAGTAATGGTGTCACTAGTGGGTTAAATTTATTAACGGCAGAAACTCCAAACTCACATTCTCCTGACACATCGTCTTCAATACTGGCTTCTTACAATGGATCAGTATCAGCACACAATGCTCAAATGCTGCAACAACCCTGCAATAGTTCACTTATGTCTAATAGTTTAGCAATGGCGTATAGGAATCAAAACAATTTTATGTCAAATGGTCATCAACAACAATGCGGAAGTTACCTCCCTTTGCAAGGCAGAGCATGGTAAACGAAAAAGAATCTTAACTCTGTCGGTTCTGATTGTACTCGCCTCTATAAATATATTCAAAAGTTTATTATTTATTTATTAAATATTTAATTATTATAAAAGCGATATATTATAAATTAATTTCGCAAACTTAATTATTTTAATTTATTTATAAATAGATCAAATTTCAGTGATATGATATATATATGTATATATATATATATATATATATATATATATGTATATTCCATTTATAATTATTAGACATAACATATTTTAATAACATATATGTGTATATATGTAAAATCTTTAAAAACTATAATAAAAAACTGTATACTTGAAATATTTTAAATTTATGTCATTTCATGTTGTACTTTATTTAATATAGAAAATAATTCCAATAAGTTCTGTACTGTTACGAATTTTAAAAATGTACAAATTTTTATATCGTTTATTTAAATATTTCAAATAAAAAGAGCTTAGGTATTTAATAATAATGTAGTTTTCAATTTTTCAAAAGAAGTCCTCCTATCAAGCATTTAACAGTAACTTCTTCAATTTTTAATTACCTTTTTACCTTTGGATGATTTTAAAAGTCATTACTTGTATTCTATGAAATTATTTGTCTAATACTTGAGATATTTATATTAGTGCTTTAAATATTCAAAAGACTTTATTAAACGAATAATATACTTCATAACGTCGTGAATTAAAAGCACTACCCATCTAATTAATACTGATCTGATATTTGGACAAAAACTGTTAATGCAATACTTGCACTCGCTAATTACAGGGTACCATAGACTTAATTACTATATGAAAATTATAGGTGCGGTAGAAAGTGATTTTTGTCGACTCTGTCATGAGGAGAAAAAAACGTATCCTATGCAGCATATCCTATGCAGCATATCCTATGCAGCATATCCTATGCAGCTGTCTAGCGGCGGCAAGACGTAGACTCGACTACTTTGGAAGCGGGATCTTAGTCCCAAATGAAATAGGTAAAATTAAGCCCACAGCAATTACAAGATTTATAAAGAGACTAGAATTATTTTAGTTGGGCCTTCAGACACACAATAGATCTTTTACGTCGGGATGTATTCATAGCCTATTATTTAATAATAATGTACTATTTAATTACAATGCAGTATTATTGCCTAACAATACATGAAAACTTATTTATATAACTGACTTCCGCTTTTTAATAGTGCTTTTTCTAATTTTATTGAATTTTAATTTTTGGTAACAGAATTTTGTCTTTAAACTATACTTATATTGAAATTTGGGAATAATTTCAGAATTTTGTCTTTAAACTATACTTATATTGAAATTTGGGAATTAATTAAAATGCAATATCGAATTTAACAGAACCGAACCCGGTTTTATTTTATTATAAATAAAAAATAGTTTATAATAATATAATAAATATAAGTAAATGTTTTGTAACGAAAATATATGGCTAACTTGAAAGCAAGTTAGAAATTCTTATTTCAAATATTTTCTGATCACTGACACGGTCAAAAACTTTTACTATAATAACGTCCTTTTGATTCTGAACAAATGTGGACAGTATCACAGAATATAGCATAAGGATCTTATCCTCTTTTAAACATATACAGTTACTGTGACATCACATAATATAATATTCTTGAGAAGATTATAATCTTAAGCTATTTATTCAATATACAATATACCTAATATCACCAACATCACTAGCAACCCACATATGTAGTAACAGAAAATTATCAAGAACGAAAAAGATAGACAAAGTCATAAACATATTCTCATGCTTAGCACAGATCCGTTACCTATATAAAATGTTAAAGTATTACTAATGGTTGAAAGTTAGTTGGGATTTAAAAGACTAGTATTGGTAAACACAACAACATTTACACTCAAATACAATTATTGTGTCTATTATGATACTTTTCAAAATACTAGGAGAAGTTAAGCTATATGGAACTAACCAGTGTGTCCAGAATGGCTGTTAATGTTATTTTTGCTACACTACTTGATTTTCCGGATGATGTTAAAGAGATCCGATAAGTTTATTTATGCTTGTTCTGGTAGGTTGGCGAAAACACGGTGTTCTAGTCATTGAAGTCACTTTGTCGGTATAGTCCGTTGTTGAAACGTAGCACCGTTGAAGAATTTATGCAATAATATAGAACCACGTTAGTACTGCAGTAAAAAAACTTACTCACTACACAAGAAACATTTCCTGTCTAATCTAGGACCTATGATCCTAGGACTTTACAGTTAACGCGATTACTCCATAATGTATTTGATACCGCAAAGGTGAGTTCATATACTTTCCTAAAAAGACTCGCGCATAGAACAGTTGAGTTTCTTGATTGCAATCAAGAAAGACTTTGTGATGCCATGTTCAATAGTAAACTGCGCCATTTCATTACAGTCCTAGATTTAACGCTTGAAGCGAGAAGCGCCGAGAATCGAAAACCCTTGAATCATGAAAAGCACTATGTACTAATTGGCAACTGTTATTTCGAAGTGAAATGATTTAATTTTCTTGATTTCAGAACTTTTTCAAATACAAAACTAATGTGATGAGCAAATATTATTATATGATATTGGATTGGTACCTACCAAACGGTTCAGCAATTAAAGCAATATGCTTTAATCCGATCTTTAAAAGATTAAAGTTAACACGACCAAGTACAGTTAAAAACCAGTTATTTTAGTGCAGATTAGATAAGATAGATAAACATGTCTGCCCTTTTTGTTTGTGATAATAATATATGACTGAGAGTAGTTTTTGTTTTATTTAAAGTTACTTTGAAGTGATCTGCCTTACAAGAAGTTTTTCTCATCTGACGTTATAGGTAAAAATAGGTTATAGTTTTTTTTTTTATTATTTATTCAATTGCGCCTTTTTAAAAATGAAAATTAATTAGCAATAATTTTATATCAGGGACTTAAAGTAGTCGATATTAATCCTTATATGTAATATTATAATATAATGATTAATATTCAATTTTATTAGTTAAATAAAACGGTTTATTTCTTATAAGCCGTCATACGAGCTCTTCTGTTTGACGGAGTAATAAATTGACTCAGATGTGCAATCTCAGAGTTGAGATCCGTAGGTCCAAATTGGACGTAGTACCTGCTTGTATATGATAAGCTAGTTTTCAATTGACATAGTGGAATGTCGTAGCCACTTAATTGAATTTAACCTAAGGTTTAGTTCTTGACGTTATTTTTTGTCGTGTTCACACCACCGATGTCTCGCAGCAAGTGTTATACCCAAGTATTTAGCTGTATTTACGTATGGAATTTGTTGGCCATTAATATACAGAGATATGTTTTTAATTTGCTTATATGTGAACACAACATGTGCAGTTTTAAGGTATTTAATTTTATTTTCCATTTATTTGCCTGCTCTAGCACATGGTTGAGAGCGGCTTGAAGGTTCCTTGTTGCAATTGTTTCCACGAATACCGTAACGTCTGAAAAAGTTGTAATTGTTATTTTATTTAAACTCAGAATTCCGTGCGTATACAAAAGATATAATAACAAGTCCAGGATGCTACTGAGTTATCCCTCGTAAAGATACGATTCACAAAATATTGCGCACTCCATCCGCAGGATCGTTTTTATTTTATATAGCATAACTTTGTACCACACTTTATCAAAGGCCTGTGATACGTCGAGAAAGAGAGCAGAGTATACTGATTTGTTTTCAAAGGACTTTTCGATGATATTTGTTATTCTGTACCCCAAGTACAGTTCTAAAGTTAATACAATGCACAAACATTACAAAAAAAAACAATTCTTTTCTTGTATAGCTCCCCTGGACAAGTCCTAACTATGCCGCTATGCCTTTCATATTTAATATAATATTCGACTAACATATTTTATTGAAAATTTTATATTTTTTTATCTGGTCTACGCATTTGATTAGATTATACTTAGGAATCCCATTTTCTCCTATATATTTGTCAATATTTATTCATGTACAGAAATGTTTTATCATTATTATTTTTTTGCTATTTCTTTTCTGTATAATTGAAAAAATCAATTGAATCAAGCGAGTTTAAGTAAACTACCTCCTCGAAGGTTAGAAAGTCGTTAATACACTACAGTGTGGTATACAGGATGTTATCCATGAGATCTATATGAATTTTATAAATTTAATGTAAGCATCCACTTGTTTTCGCACAAATGTCATATTGTCGTATTTTAACTTTATACTGCTCGAAATATTAAAAGATCTAATATATTCAACCAGGATATCGCTTTAGAAATTATTGTAGACAAGTCGGCGCGAGTGCCTTTTAAAGAAAGCATTGGCCAACCATTAAAACTGTGAGCACCAGTCTGCCCTGTGTGAAGACTTTAATTCGCATTTTACTGTTTTTTCTTTTAGCGTTTATTATTTTTTTACGATTACTTTCTTCAGTAGCCCAATAGAATATTTGCAATTCTTGCTTTTTTCTATGTAAAGATGGTTCATAAAAAACCATTTCAGATTTTTATATTGAATTGTCTTTTTTAATGAAAGAATAGCAAATCAAATACTTAGAGAATTATTAAATTCAAATAGAATCATATATGTATCTTGAGGAAAAATATGTTGAAAAATTGTTAATTTTGATTTTTGATTGTAGTTAATACAAAATCAATAGTTTACACCTAGGGAAAAATATTTTTCCTTTGGTTTTCACAATCAGTTTGAGAAAAAAATTTAAAGAAATTCATTTTCAAATTCCCACACACAGCAAGAAGCACTTATTTGACTTTTTCAGTTGACCGAATCTTAACATATTCTTCAATTAATTTGAGCAATTATAATATTCCAAAATTAATGTTTGTCATAGTGAGCAGAAAGAGCAATCAAAACTACATCATAAATCACCCTAAAAGACTTCAAAACTTTGAAAAAGAGGGTAGCTTCTTATTTTTCTGCATATCTAACAGAAACAGCATAGCTACGAAAGCAACACCACAGGAAGCGTCCAATCTCAAAACAAACTGCAACACGGCATGATTTCAGTTGGCTTTTTATTTCTAGATTTAAGTTTCATTCTAAGGAATACTACATTTATTTTAATATGAATAAGAAAGTAATTGAATGACTTCGGTGAGACTTATTTGAAC